GTGCACATCTTCTTCGTGTTCGTTTTTGATGGACACCTGGGCTGATGCCATCTTTGCTTACTTTGAATAATTTTGCAGTGAACATTTTGGAGGAACGTCCTTTCTCTTCTCCATAGTGGCTCTGCAAGTTCACAGTCCCTACAACAGCGTGTGACGACAGGTCCTTTGGTCCCACATCGTCCCCAGAATCGGCTGCTGTCTGTAACCACCATTCTACTCGAGGTGGCGATGGCATCTCGGGGTGGTTTCTGTCTGCATTCCGCTAATGGTGAAAGTTGATGGGGCATTTTCATGAATCAGTCGGCCTTTTGGAAGCTTTGGAACTTGATTTTTATCCCGTAGATAAATGACCCAACTTGCAGGTGGCCCATCTGTCGGCCCCTTGAGCCTCCGATGAAGGGACAAGATCAGGGCTGTGGTTCTGCAAATCCTTGACCATTTATTTCAGGGGGAAATACGACAGCGAGTTCCCCTACGTTAAACGCGGACATTGCTTCTCACTGGTCACCATCAGTCTCTGGGCGGCGACAGCTGTCCCCTGACGGATGGGATGTCGGTGACGCTTCTGACCCTACGTGAGCTAACAAAGGATGGCCTCTCTGGAGCCAGAGTGTCTGTGCTCCTCGACTCATGCTGCAGGAGAGCCTCCGATCATGGCTCTTAGGTCCTCCTCCGATGCACAACGCCTCTGCCGAGCGTTTATCATTGCAGACGGAGACTCGGAGCCAGCACCCGGGCTGCAATTACCCTGCCTCCCATCTATCTTAAAACTCCAGCCTCAGTGACAATGCAGGAGTCCCGTGTCCCCCTGTCGAGCCGGTGAAGCACCCACAGTTTTAGGGAGACGACTTTTTAGGGTTTCCTGTGTCCCCTGGAATTCGGGGGCTGGTCCCAGACCAAGCGTTCGGCACGGAGCGCCTTATGCACTTCTCAGGCCAAGTCTCCGACGACTGCTTCGCTACCAAGAGGACCACCTGCTCTTAGCTGCTGCATCTCCCATCTCGAGGGTTGAGCCGGGGACCTGGGTTTCCATCAGGAGCGTCAATCAGAAGCGAGGACTCAAGGACCTTGGGTGATGACCTCTTGCTCACAGGCCACCTGGAATCCCACCTGCAGGGAGTAGCCTCCTGCTACCTCTGAGCGGTGGCTTCACACGGTCTCTGCAAGAGCGTCAGAGCCACGAGACAGCTCTCCAGCATCCAGCCTTCCTCTGCAACCTGTGTCCGCTCACGACGGAGAAACGGCCACGTTCCTGCATTTCCACGTTTTTTTTTTTTTCCCTCCTCTTGAGGGTGACAAGGTATTGGGTCAGAAAGCCCTCGCTTTAACAGTGAGCTGGTCCCTGAGCCTCGAGTTAAGCCCCAAAGTGCTCTCGAAATGGCTTATTTTCTGTATTTGTTTCATTCCGGGAGCAACGAGAGAGGAGGCTTTGGAAATAAAACATTTCGTTTAGAGGCTCCCCGGCAGCCCGCTGTCGGTAATTCAAAACCATCATCCTATATAAATTGGTATCATTAGATCTCAAGAACCTTACTGGAAAAAAAGAATAATATTTGCAGACCGCTGACGGCTCTGACGGGGAGAGAAAAAAAGGATAGAAAGAGACAATCCTGCGGCCCAATTTGTTCCCAGGGGAGACTTTCCGTTCAGAATTTCGAGGCGAGAAAGAGGTTAGACCTTTGATAGGATCAATCTTATGAAAAATTAAATGGTTAATGGGCTCTGGGCTCTATAGATGAGATGCTGGCTTAAAACCTGCAGAGTTCAAGGTCCAGAGAGTGCGTCTTTGGGGAAAATCACGGGCTGAGAGGGAATCGGGACTCGGACAATTTCTCAGCAGATTGAACCCGATTGCCCACCCTGCAGGGTCCCCCGGTCCCCTGGCGATGGCCTCAGCAGCTGCGTTTGCAATCATCCCGGCCCCGGGTGGAGATGGAAATGATAGAGCAGAGTCATGGCTCCGGGCAGAGAAGAAGATTGGGGACACATTAGATATGTCATCGTGGTCATTGGAAAAAGAGTGGAATTTGGAGGAAATATTCGGCAAGGGGCATCAGCATGCAGAAGGACCCAGGGGGTTTGGTTGGAAGGAGACTGCACGCATGCACGTGCACATACACAAATACGGAGCTGTCGGTCTGTAGCCCACGGGGGTGACTAGACACACAAGGCGGCCGGCTTAAACAAAGAAAAGGACTTAGGAGTCTAGCTCCAGATTTAAGCTCTGCCCCTGCAACCCTATGTCACCCCAGCCCCGCGCACACAGCCTAGGTCAGGTGGCTTCTGCACAAACACACTTTGAGCCGGTCAGTAACGAAGGCCAGGAGCCCAAGGTGCATTTGAATTAAAATTATACTTGAGCCATTTTAGGTCTGCCTAAAAAAAAAAAAATTGAAAAGAAAGTAGAGCCAGGCAGAGTGGCGCACGCCTGTCATCCCAGCGGCTCGGGAGGCTGAGGCAGGAGGATCGTGGGTTCAAAGCCAGCCTCAGCCAAAGAGAGGCTCTGAGCAACTCAGGGAGACCCTGTCTCTAAATAAAATGCAAAATAAGGCTGGGGACGGGGCTCAGGGGTCGGATGTCCCTGAGTTCAATCCTAAGGAACCAAATCAATAAATAGAAAGGACAGAATTTTCATATATGTCCTGTGCCCTCTATGGGACAAGTTGCACCTTGACCTAGTTACTACGTCATCTTTGTTACTATTGCACGATGTAGTGCTTGTTACTACTGACCACCCAGGATTGATACGTTGTTATTCACGGAAGGCTTGATTGACACTTGGGGTATCGAACTGCATCCACCACTGCAATATCCTGCCAGACTCTGGTCAAAGCCCGGAACATCTTCCAGGCTCAACCTGTTCACCCACCCCTCCCCGTCTCCCCTCACAACCACAGAACCTTTTACAATCTCCACTATTTGCTTTTTCCGTAATAACGTCACACGGCGTGTTGACTTCTTTCCCTTAAAACACGCATTTATGTTTCCTCTATGTGTTTGCCCAGTGGGATCCCTCAATTCTTTTCAATATTTGCATCAGCTGGGTTCTCTGCAGTCTAGGTATCCACTCACCTTTTGCAGGGCATCCCAACGTTTTGGCAATTGCAGGGAAACCTGCCCTACATATGTGTGTGGGTTTGGGTCTTTTTGCTTTGTTTTTTTTGTTTTGTTTTGTTTTGTTTTTGGGGAACACAAGTTGTTGCAGAAGCCACGTATGTTACAAAGCATTTTTTTTTTTACTGCAATTTCTTGGTGCTAAGATTCTTCTACATATATGGAAGGTGAATGGGGTTTGAAATGAAGGAATAGTGCTCCATTATTATTTGCAGTAGAAGAATGCAACGTCCTGGGTCCTCTGCCTGTGAGATTCTACCTGGAAGTCGTGTGCGGAAGAAAGGGGAATTTTCCTCTCACAGTAGGGGTGGGGGTGATATCGTGGAGCTGCTTCTACTTCTGCTCGTTAAGCTAATTATCACTTTCAAAGAAAGAAGGCTTAGGTTTGTGTCGCAGCCAAATAACCCCAGAGCCAAATGAGCTCCCGCGCACAGGTGGCTCGCTTAGTTGTACCAGGTCGGACCGTAATAAATGTCGTGCTGACGATGATTGACCCCGGGAGACAGATTGCCAGCTGTCTCACTCCTGGTGTCTGAGTGACATTTATGTATACGGTGCAGGATCCAGAAATGTTTGTCATTTGAGTTAAAAATTGAGAAAGATCGAACCTACTCTGGCCTGTGGCATTGGCGATCAAACGGCAGAAAGACATCTTTATTCTTTTAGTCTCTCTCTTTTTTTTTTTTTGGTACCGGGAATTGAACCCAGGGGTGCTTAACCGCTGAGCCACATCCCCAATCCTTTTTTATATTTTGTTTAGGGTCTTGGTAAGTTGCTCAGGGATTCGATAAGTTGCTGAGGCTGGCCTTCAACTTGCGATCCTCCTGACTCAGCCTCCCAAGCCACTGGGAGTACAGATGTGCACCCGCGTGCCCGGCTCTGAGGTCTATTTAATGTCTCTTTGGCTCCACGGTGATTCTCACTGGGTCTACCCACTTATCCGAGTTTCAGACTCACACCTGACTCTTACTTCCTGGATGTCCAAGCTCGAATGGGTTGCTGATCTTGTTATAGCATCGTCGCCTTTGTCTGCACACCCAGGGTCCCGTGTGCCCTGAAGTAGAGAATATGAAACCAGACTCTCTGCCTGCAGAGGGGACTCATGGATGGTAGAAAGGACGGCTTTTGTCCTTACTGTCAGAGTTATCATCCATAAAGTCACATTTGCAGGTGGTTTGCAGCGTGAGGTTTGGAGAGAAGAAGGTGAGACTGAGAAAACATTTGAGGTCCTGACAGTGGGTTCCCGAGTTGGGTGGTGTCTGCTGTCACTTTTTCAGGATGACGTTCATACCAGATGCAGGGGTGCGCCCCTGTGATCCCAGCTACTCGGGAGGCTGAGGCAGGAGGATGGCAAGTCTGAGGCCAGCCTGGGCAACTTAGCGAAAATGTGTCTGAGAATAGAATAGAATAGAATTAAAAAGGTTCAGGGTGTAACGCAGTGTAACTAGGAGGTAGCGCCCGGGTTCAATCCCCAGTACTTTGGAAAGAAATCAAAGATAGAGACACATGGAGAGAGGCAAAGATCCTTCATCTTGCCATACCGGTTCCCAGGACAGGGACACTGGTGGTTGGTGGCCCAGGGCCGTGGCCAGCTGGTCAGGGCTGATCTTGCCTCTCCTTTCCGACGTGTTCCCCCAAACCACTCCTGACCCGTGAGGCTGGTTACCTGTAGAAACGACGATGCTTCTTCTAAGTGAGCTCCCCTCGATGACTGGACCTTTCGGGTGCTCCTTCGGGAGCCCTGCCTGGGCCGGTGTCACGGAGGTCAATTCCACGCACACCGCGGTGGCCTCCCCACCTCGAGGAAGGAACCCACCAGCGGAGGAGGGGACCTGTCCCTTTCTCCCTGGAACAGCGTTAAAATGCATCTCTTCTCCCCCCCCCAGGGCAGGTCTTGGATGTCCTAGAAGAGCTGAGACTGGCCGACAATACCCTCGTCTACTTCACCTCGGACCACGGAGCCCACGTGGAGGAGGTGACCGCCAAGGGGCAGAAGCATGGCGGCAGTAACGGCATCTATAAAGGTGAGAGGCGCAAAGTGGACAAGCGCTGTCCTCCCTCCTGCTCCGTGGCCGCCTTTTCCTTGAGCCCCCATCTGCTGACTTCTCCCTGACTCTCTCTGACTTCCGGCCCCGTCGCCTCTGATCCCGTGACTCTGTCCCTTTGTACCTTTCTGTCACACAGAGTCTGTGAGGCCAGCTGCGTAACCCCGGCCTCTCTCGCCACCTCGAGACGCTTCTCTTGGTCATGTCCGCAGCGTCCCTTCTGCCGTGTTTGGGACATTATTGACAGGTTCTAGGGATGGGGACCAGGACGTCTTTGGGAAGCCATTGTTTGGCTTATCGGAAACCGTGGTCCCCTCTGCCACTTGGTTCTTGCCGCAGGGTCACCGTAGCTGTTCCCACGAAGGATCAGGTTGGTCCCCGGGGGATATTTGGTGACACCCAGGTGCTGGCTGGTACCAGCGCGTCTGGTGATAACCCAAGTGTCCCCCATCACAAAGGCTTTGATAAGATCCTAACAGGACACACCTGGTCACTCAGCCACATCTGCAGCGGGTGTGGTGGGAGACACAAGCAGACATGTCCCCTCGGCTCCTAAGAGAGGGTGCGTGGACGTGGCCAGGCCGAGAAGCGCCGTGTCCCAGACGGTGGCGCTGCCTGGCCAGCCGAGGAGATGTGTCGGAAGTGGGGACACAGGTGACCTTCGAACCTCGCTAGAATGAATCGAGGAAGTGCTGTTGACCGGTCATTTCTCTGTCACGTGGGTGTTCCGCGTACTGCGAGGGCCGTAGGAAATCCGCTTGCCCCCGCAGCCGTGGAAGGATGGTGTACGGGACGCTTTCGTCCATCCCCTCGTGGAGAATGGCGCACTGGGCCTCTGGGGAGATTCTGGGCAGACACAACAGCCTCGCCATGGCGGAGGCTGGCTTTGAACTCGTGATCCTCCTGCCTCGGCCTCCCAAGCTGCTAGGACAACAGGTGTGCACCACGGCACGCAGCTAAGTCTATAATTCTATCGACGGGCACCTCTGGACTCAGCCCCATGAGGCTTGGAGACCCCAGGGCAGTGGCCGTGTGTGCCAGCTCTGGGGAGCCTCACAGCTAGCACACAGGGGTGCAGTTCCGCGTGTCGGAGTCAGTGTCCAGGGCCCGCTGGTGGGTACCCCCCCATTTCCCATCGTGTTCCAGCCCAGTGAGCCGTGGAAACTGGTCTGGGTGGGTAGTAAGGTGCGATGCTTCCTTCGGATCTCCGCAAGGCTGTGGCCTGCGTGGACCAGGGTCGCTTTCTTTTCTCTGGGAGAGGACAGCGTCTTTCAGGATGGAGCTGCAGACTCCATTGCACACACGGGTTCTCGCCTCTCTCCTTCTCTCGCCAGACGCCCGTTAGATCCTGGAAGAGCCTAGGGGCTGCCGAGGAGGCACGTGCATAAGTCACCGTAATGGAAGGGTTAGCAGGTTCCCGAGCCGAGTTGCAGGCAGGACGCGGGAGCCGCAGGGCAGGGCAGGCGGCCCAGGCGCATGGAGCCCGGGTAGTTCACGCAGCAGCCACAGGAGACGCACTTGGCATTTTTGCTTTGATGGCCAGAGACCCCGTGGGGTGAGCTCACGGAGTACAATAGCTAAGGAGGGTCTGAGCCTTCTTCAAAATGCAACAAGTCGATCCTTTGAATGCTGGCAATGCTGCATGTCTGCTGCCGTTTGCACTTTAAACATGATAATTTAATATTTAGGAGATAAAGGGGTAGTGAAAGCATTGATTATCCACCCCACCCCCCATACACACGCACCTTTTAAAGGAAATGTGCTTTCAGTGTGATTATCCTGGTAAGATCTAGATGTGGGTGAATTTTGTCTGTGAATCAGCTGGAGCTTAAAGGGAGATCGGACGGAGAGGCGAGATGGAATGTTTCGAGGGTAGAATTCTGCTCGGATTTTATGAATGTCATCAAGGAGCTGGTTCCTGCAGTACTTTCTGAAGTATTCGCCTCCAAAATAAATCGGCTTGTACTTTCTACATGTTTACAGTGATCATATTGACCTCACAAAACCAAGGAACAGCCCATCTCTCCACTGGAGAATCAAGGATTAACGGGGCATGGTGGCACATGTATGTCATCGGGTGGCTCTGAAGGCTGAGGCAGGATTGCAAGTTGGAGGCCAGCCTCAGCAACTGAGCGAGACCCTCTCTTTAAATAAAAAATGAATTAAAAGGGCTGGGGATGTAGCTCATTGGTAAAGAGCCCCTGGGTTTGATCACTAATGTGGGGAGAAGTGATCAAGGATTCCTTGTCTTCGTTAGTGGGATTAGTTAATCTAACTATGTTCTCCTACCAAGTTGTTAGGATTTTTAACCACAGCAAAATAAATAAGTAAACAACAAAAAATTCTACAATATTCACATTAATCCGTGACCCCTTGTATCTATTTCCTGGAAAAATTCCATCCGGGCCATTGAAATATTGAAGAATGTCCACATTCAGGCTTTGGCCTTCAGGAGTGGGAATTGCTGCCTACAACTCAGAAGGGACTTAATGTCCGTTCTCTTAATGAAGGCACAAGTGTCCCCACCCCCAACTTCACCCTCTAAATAAGGGTTTTTATTTGTTCATTTTTTAGTTCTGGGGATTGAACCCAGGGGTGTTTAACCGCTGAGCCACATCCCCAGCCCTTTTTTTTTTATTTTTTGCTTTGAGACAGGGTGTAGCTAAGATGCTTAAGCCCTCAGCTAAAATTGCTGAGGCTGGCCTCCAACTTGCTATCCTCCTGCCTCAGCCTCCCAAATTGCTGGGATGACAGGCATGAGCCACCATGCGTGGCTCCCAGGACCTTCTCCAATGGGTTTCTTGATGGTCTCCCTGATGCTTTGTAGCAATATCTCCCAGGTACAGCCCCAACACCTGATCTTGGTATCGATTTTTATTTTTTTTTTTAAATTGCCAATCAACAAAATTTAGTTGTGCGTGTGGATGGGGCTCATCGTGACATTATATTTTATGAAAACAGTGTCAGATCATTAGATCCGGTGAATGGACATTCTGCCTCCTCGGTTATTAATCGTTTGCTCTTGAGAGTATTTGAAATCGAGTGACCTTCTCTGATCATCAGGAGATGCATGTTAAACCCAAAGAGATAGCAGCTGTTAAAGTGCATGAAAGAACCTGGCAGAGGCTCCTGCCTCTCATCCCAGCGACTCAGGAGGCTGGGGCAGGAATCAAAGGTCCTTAGGCAACTTGGGAAGACCATATCTCAAAATAAAAATGAAAAGGACCGGGATCGTAGGTCCGTGGTAGAGCATGTACCGAGTGTGCCCGAGGCCCGGGGTCCCGTGCCCAGTATTGCGGAAGAGAGGGGAGGAGAGGAGAGAGGGAAAAGTATTGGCAAGGATGTTGCGGGAACGGAATCCTTGCACGCTGCTACAGAGTAACCGTGTAAAGTAGCACGGTCCTTAGTGCAGAAAACAGCGTGGAGAGGCTCAGATGCACACAAAGTGCAGACAGACACCTGCACACGGTTCACAACCGCCAAGCAACAGTGCACCTGAGTGTGCATCCGTGGGTGAGCGGGGACAGAGTGCAGAATGAGTGGCAGCTGCCAGACGTGGTTGGGGAAGGGGGGGGGGTGTGTCCCGGGAGGTGATGGATCTGGTCTTTCCCTCACACCACCTCTGCAAGAATTCTCTGCACCAACATGAAGGTCCTTGCCCCAAACACCTTCTTTTAACTTCTGTGCACATCTGACGTTTCCCGTGAGGATGTCTTTGTTTCATTCTGTCTCTGTCCCCTGTTAATCTGGAACCCAGAGTGGCTCTTCCATAGATCTGGGTGGGACACTCTCATCCCAACCTCGGAAACCCAAAATGCTCTACAACTTCTCCAACACGGAGGCAGCGTGCAAATCAGACAATTCCATCTACCAAACTTTGTTCACGCCCAGAGTCATTTACAATGTGGCGTAAGATGACCTCTAGCCTTTGTGCCTAAGGGGAGGATAAAACTAGTATATTTTTGTGTTTGGAGCTGGTCCCTCACCCTCAAGGATGTGACCCTGCTATGCAAATCTTGCAGAAGTTAAATAAGTAAATCCTTCACTTGCCAAGCACTTTGGATCAGGGGTGCTCACCTGCAATGCAGTTTAAGTGGCTTTCGTGGTCTCCACGGGGCAGGGTCTCCTGGAATCTCAGAAACAACTCAGTTAAACGGACTCTAACATCTTTGCCATCTCTCTCGTCAAGGTCACCCTGAAGGAGGCTCATCCCTCCCTCCGTTCCCTCTGCCGATGGGCAAGTGATACATGTCAGTGGAATAGATAAATTAACTGCACGGACTCTCTCTGCAGACTAGGGGGGAGTCATATTTTCCTAAGTGTTCAACCACAGACACCCTCTGGCATCCTGCAGGATGCTTTTAAAATTCCCCCCGACACCTGCAAGAAACGCATCTATCTTCTCCCTGAAGCACAAATTCCAAAAGCAACGGATTGTATGAGTTGCTTTAAAAAAAAAAAAAATCACTGATTTTGGCATCCGTTTGCCTCGCCGAACAACACGGCTTTCAGGGAGCGATTGAGATTTTTTTTTTTTTTTTTTTTTTAATTTTTTATTGTGGGTTGTTCAAAACATTACAAATTTCTTGACATATCATATTCCACACTTTGATTCAAGTGGGTTATGAACTCCCACCTTCACCCCATACACAGATTGCAGAATCACATCAGTTACACATCCATTGATTTACATATTGCCATACTAGTGTCTGTTGTGCTCCGCTGCCTTTCCCATCCTCCACCCTCCCCCCTCCCCACCTCTCCCCTCCCCTCCCCTCCTCTCTCTCTACCCCCTCCACTGTATAACCCTGAGGGTCTCCTTCCATTACCATGCAATTTCCCTTCTCTCTCCCTTTCCCTCCCACCTCTCATCCCTGTTAAATGTTAATCTTCTTCTCCTGTTCTTCGTCCCTACTCTGTTCTTAGTTACTTTCCTTATATCAAAGAAGACATTTGGCATTTGTTTTTTAGGGATTGGCTAGCTTCACTTAGCATAATCTGCTCTAATGCCATCCATTTCCCTATAAATTCTATGATTTTGTCATTTTTTAATGCAGAGTAATACTCCATTGTGTATAAATGCCACAATTTTTTAATCCATTCGTCTATTGAAGGGCATCTGGGTTGGTTCCAAAGTCTTGCTATTGTGAATTGAGCTGCTATGAACATCGATGTAGCAGTGTCCCTGTAGCATGCTCTTTTTAGGTCTTTAGGGAATAGACCAAGAAGGGGAATAGCTGGGTCAAATGGTGGCTCCATTCCCAGCTTTCCAAGAAATCTCCATACTGCTTTCCAAATTGGCTGCACCAGCGATTGAGATTTTTAACCGGGGGCGGGGGGGAAGAAATACCATGGGGATCCCCGGTGGTTCATCAGATGGTAGTTATGCCGCGGTCCTGTCTGCAGAAGTTGGCAGGTGAGCTCATCGGGAGGCTGCTCTTGGTGGCACGTCTTCTAGGAGTGGCCTTTTCAATTTGGAAAGATCACCTTCCCCTCATTTATAGAATAAATTCATTTGGTTCCATTCGATCGAGGTGCATTTGTTGATGGGCTGCGTGGAGCATGCTGGGTGTGGGCTCGGTTCTCAGGTAGGACCCCAGAGAGCGCAGGGTCCTGGGTGGTCTCTAGGAGGTTAGATCTACTAGCTCTTTGTGCTGATCGGCAACGGTGTTACCGGTTCTTCTGATACTCCTGCTTACGGAAAGGACCCTTAGCTACAAAACAGCATTCTGGTGTTTTTTTTTTTTTTATTTTTTAATTGCGAATCAACAAAATCTCTCTCGGATGTATTCTTTTCTCTTTGCTTGATTAGTCTCACGTCCTTTGGTTCTTCATGACCCAAGAGGATGAGGCTCTGCAGACACACACGCTCCAGCCTAGGTTTGCAGCAGGCAGTGATGTCTAGGTTGGGGTAAGTGTGCTCTGTGCAGTTGGCATCAGGATGACATCCTTTGCAATGCATTTCTGAGCAGGGGACCTTGCAAAGCGTGTCGTGGAGCAACCCAGCCAGGGTAACGTACCGGTAAGAGAACTCCCAGGGGGGAACGGTAACACTGGGAGTGAGCCAACCATGATATGATTATATTACAGGCCAGAATATATATAACATAGGTATTTTATATAATATCTGCATTATATACTATGTGTCACATAATATATATATATAACATTATATGCAATATAATATGATTATATAGCATATAATATAGGTGATATATGCATTATATTTCACATATAATATATATATAAGATATTTACATATAGAGGCAGATATATAATGTAGACAGAAGATATTAAGGAGCTTGATTAGGTAAAAATATAGTTCATTAAGTGGCTGTGATGATTCCCTCAATGTTGAAGAACTTAATGGTCTGGGTTAAGGACAGGGTTGGAGCCTAACCCTAAACCGGAATTCAATGAACTAATGCAAAGGTGGCAAGAGGTGGCCCAAAGCTTGGGCTTTATAAATAAAGTTTTATTGAAACACAGTCATGCTTATCTGCGAGGCTGCACAAGACGATTGCTGATCTTTGGCTTCAGCTGCAGAGTTGGGTCATGGGGAAAGCCCCCCCCATAAATATATTTAATGATAGTTGCCATCTGGATCTTATGTAGAGAAAACATTTGCAGCCCTGGACTTTGTGGCAGTCTGGTGGGCCCCAGGACCCTGCCATCGGCCTTCTGTGGCGGGCAGTCACGATGTTGAAAGTGGGGACGTGTGACAACCTCTCAACCCCCTATCCTTGGAGGTTGTGAGCTTCTGCAGGGCACGAACCCCATGCATATATCTTTGTGTCCCCTTTGGTGACTTTGAGATCAGAACAACCTAAGGACAGATCCTTGAAACTCTCTCTGTAGCTTCGGTCACTTGCTGTGTAACTTGGACCAGGTTTTCTCAGATGCTGAATGGGTTGTGCTCTGGGGAAGAGCGGGCCGTGGCTCTTCAGCCTGTTTGTTGGGCACATTTTTTTGCATTTTCGTTTCCACGTCACGTTGCGAGAGGAGAAGGACTGGAGCCAGGCCATCTGATGAGCAATCGTATTTGCCTCTGTGACTTTGACAGTTGATGAGGAAGCCGTATCTGATACTATACCACCGTGCACGCGGTGGTCGGCAGGAGGCTGGGTCTGGGGGCTGCAGAGACAGCTGCCTCCCTGAGGTCCTGGGCCACCACTGAGGGTGCCCTGGGCCTGTCACCTGCACACACATAAGCCACTTCTTTGCAGGCAGGTGTGAGTGTTGTGTGCACGTGGCTGTTTGTGGCTTGGAATTTTCTGGGGAGATTTGGAGTCTCTGAAATGGGACTCAGGTCCTCGGGTTTCTCTAGGAATTTTCTTTGGTTTTGACTTTGGTTAGACTCATCTCCCGTTACCTGGAAGTCGGGGACATTACCAAGGTCCCCGAGGGGGAATGCATTCCAGACACGTGACATACACAGACCTTGGATTTTTCCTCTGGATGCCTGTGGGGCCATCTGCTTTTTAAACAGCCAGGTTTCCTACCCACGCTGTTACGTGGCTCTGCAGCCAGGTGTACGTTAGATGAAGTGAGATGAAGGAACTGTACAAATTCACGGGCTTCAGGGATGGACTCGGCTGGATTTGTATCAGTAACTCTACCGTTGAGACAAGGCGCGTTCTGCACGTCACTACATTTGTCTCCGTCTCAGATTGCGCATGCTTACAATGCAGAGAGCCAGCTAGCTGTACCTTCATGGGTCAGGTGTGAGGATTTAATGAGATAAGGTGTGTGCATCTACCCACGTCACATAATAGCTGAGCAATTAATATGGCTCATGGTGATTACCCAGGAACAGTCCTCACGCAAACCCCCTGAGCTAATTCCTCGGGCCATCCCTGCTTCTCTGGCTTGAAAAATGCTAACGCACTTGGTTGACTTGTGAAATAATTATTTATCAAGCGTCTGTGTGCATGTCGATATGGAGCCTCCCTCATTGGAAAGCCAAGGGCTCTCGGGTCGGAAACTCGGGGTAAGAGCATATCAGTCCATTACCTTGAGGTGATGTGAGAAAGATAAGGGAAGAGCCTCGGCTGTCACCAGACCCCGGATCAGAAATGACACACGCAGGTGGGAATGGCACGTGAATTTCCCCTGAATGTCTGTGCACGTAAAACAGCTGAATGCATCTTGCTGGTGACAGATTCCAAGTCTTCATCCGTGAGACCCCATCTTTGAGAAAGGCAGACGTGCTCCAAGATCCCTGGGCACCCCGGCGGTCGTAGAGATTTAACTTCCTCAGTTTAGATGGCATTGATAGCCAACGTGGATCGTGCATTACCCAGCTCTAGGTTAGACTGTGAATGCATCTTAAGGTATTGCTCTAGAGAAGCAGTTCATATATTGACTCATCGTCCACACACACACACCTGCAAGGCTTGGGGACTCCAGCCTGACCTCATCTGCTGATATTCGGATGCACCCTGAGCCTCGCGGTGTCTCCCAGGTCCCTTGTCTGGTAGCTTTGATTAGATTCTAATTGCTTCCTGGGCACAAAGCTTCTTTCTCCAACTGCACGGGGAGAGCTCTTCTGGTGATGACCTACAGTGACAACAGGTTTTTGTTATTCTGCTTTCTTGTCGTCGTCGGTGACTAGGCTTGGAACGAGGCATGATCATTCTGTCTAGCACCAGCGCACTGCGGGGACGTGACACAAACACGGTGCAGCCACAGGGCACAGGGCAAAGTCCTCATTTCCTAGCACCAGTGTGACTAGTGGGCACAAATCGGGTGGCTCAAAGCAGCTTGTATTTACCACCTTCTGCTGCCAGAAGTCGCAACCTTCCTGGGCTTTAAAAAAAAAAAAAAAAAGATCACTGAAGTCTTTACGGAGCTGGGTTCCAGTGTGGGTTGGGGAAAGGATCTGCTTTCTCGCCGGCTGGGAAATGCTGCCCACCCTTCTTTAGCTGGGGGGTGCCCTTCTCTGGGTTCAAAGCCAGGACTCGCGGGCCACCTTGCAGAGCTGATCCTGTCGGGCATAGCGTTGACCTTGTCGTTTATTTCTTCCCACCACCGTGGGCGCCGTCTCAGTCTTGAAGTGCTCTTTGAAGCCCACCCACTGAGAGTACTCGTTTGTCCCCAGAGTGACCGAGCACTGAAAAGTACACGGACGTGCGTGAGCTTTGAAGAGACTAAACGCTGATCCCTGTCCCCTCTCTTTTTTGGGGGGATTTTTTTTTTTAGGAGGGAAAGCCAACAACTGGGAAGGAGGTATTCGGGTCCCAGGCATCTTTCGGTGGCCGGGGGTGATCGAGGCCGGTTTGGAAATTGACGAGCCCACGAGCAACATGGATATCTTCCCCACGGTGGCCAAGCTGGCTGGGTCACCTTTGCCCAACGACAGGTACGTCCGTCCGTTCGAGGGGAGGGGTGTGGCCTCCCTCTGATTTCGCTGACCTGCGTGTCCCCTGGATGATGGAGCGCTATATCTGGCTGGACCTGTGGTCTGTGTCCAGCCGTGGGACTTCCTAGTGGTTGGCGAATGGGAAAAAGCCTTCTGTCTGTCCCGCTAGCCCGCGGGGAAAGAAACCGAGAGGTAGATGATCAGCCTTTCCATATCCTCAAACATTTCTCTTATCTGTGCTTTGGGACACTTTGGACGCTTCTTGTTGAGTTAATTGGACCTCGACCCTGTTAGGGGCCCACTCCATCAACGCCATTTCCATCTCTTGGCGAAGGTGAATAGCGCTGGATCAAACGTGGGCGCGGCGGGTGCTGCTAGGGATTTCATTTCCTGTGGATACACACCCAGGATGGGGTCGCCAGATGCACTTTTAATATTTTTGAGAAAACCCCACACACTGGTTTCTGTGTTGATTGACGCTGTCACCCAGGGTCACTGGACATTTTTTAGTCCCCTTGGAGGTGACGTAAGACAGTTCATCCAGCCTGCTCATGCTCTCTGCCATTTGTCTGGCTCACCACTGAGCAGCAGGGCATGTGCCACAATCGGACCCCACGTCTTTCCTCTCCCCCCCCGCCCCACTCAGTGGCGGTTTGCAACACCCAGAAAGGCGGCCGGTTCCCCCCCGTGGGAAAATCCATGATGGGACATTCTGTGACTGTCACCTCCTGTCTGGAGTGGATGGAGGTCCCTCCGTGATCCCTACTCGTGACTATTGAAGAAGGCAACAGTCTTCCCTTTGGTAGACCCAGGTGTGGGCTGTGTACAAATATGTAGTAACACATGCCATCGTTATTACGTGCAACTATTATGCACCAGTAAAAAATAATTAATTGACCAATGATTAATCAACCAACGAATGGATTCTCCATATGCAAGACTTACCTGGGCTGCTAGCTCCCCGTCTGGGATTCTGGTTCTGATCTAAGTCGGACCATGGATATTATCTCTGTGCTGGGATCCTAAGGGCTCAGACTCGTCCAGCTATAAGGGCCTTCACCATCCTGAGCCAACGCACATGACAGCAGAAGCTAGCTCCCAGGTACCTGTGGTTTACAGTGACGGGGACACCTCATCTAGAGCACGCTACCACCCAGCTGCAGTAACATCCTTAGGTGTTTGTCCCGGAGGTTTTTCTTGATCTGTTCTTTCCATATATATATATTTTTTTTTTGGGGGGGGGGTTACTGGGGATGGAACTCTGGGCTGCTTAACCCCTGAGCCACACCCACCCCCAGCCCTTTTTTGTTAATTTTTATTTTGAGACTAAGTTGCTTAGGGCCTCGCTAAGTTGCTGAGGCTGGCCTTGAACTCGGGATCCTCCTGCCTCAGCCTCCCCAGCAGCTGGGATTACAGGAGTGTGCCATGTACTTTTTATTGGTGCATAATACTTGCACATAATAATGATGGCATCTGTTATTACATATTTGTACACGCACATAATATAATTTGGCCGATATCACTCCCTAGCACTTCCCTGTCCCTCTGTATATGTTCCCCCACCCCCGTCTCTTTTCCTCTCCTGATCTCCCTTTGAATTTTACAAGACCTGTCCCCTATCTCTCTTTTCCTTTGCCAACTACTGCTTCCACATATGAGAGGAAACATACAACCCTTGATCTCCCTCCTGTGGCTTCTTTTGCTTCCATGTACCTGCAAATGCCATCATTTCATTCTTCTTTAGGGCTGAGTAATATTCCATTGTGTGTCTACACCACATTTTCTTATCCACTCACCCACTGATGGACACCGAGGCTGGTCCTATAGTTTGGCTGCTGTGAATGGTGCTGCTATAAACCTGGGTGTGCATGGATCACCATCTAAAGCAGTGGCTACCACCCAGTGTGACTGTCCCCTAGGAGTTTATTTAAAATGTCACAGCAAGGGAGAGCTGCCTGCCTCCCCCGGAGGCGTTTTGATAGTTTCACCACAGGGCACCACCTGCAGCCTGTGGGCTGAGGCCAAGGGCGCTGCTAAGCCTCTCCCAGAGCATCAGGCAGCTGCTCAACAGTGAATTGTCTGACCCAGAATGAGATTGAGAAATCCTGCTCTAAAATTTATTGTCGCTCTTTTACGGAAAAGGTAGTTGTTATAGGAAATTCCATCAGAAGTTTTCATTAAAAGCTTCTAGGTTACATCTTCATATTTCTGTCTATAAACTTGATACTCAAAGACATACCTTTTACAAAGGAGCCTTAACTCTTTCCCGCCAAGATGGATAGAAATGGGCTTTGTCGATTTCTTTTTTCCTTTTTCTGGGGATTGAACCCAGGGGAGCTTAACCACTGGGCCACATCCCCAGCACTTTTTTTTTTTTTATTTTGAGACAGGGTCTCACTAAGTTGCTTAGAGCCTTATTAAGTTTCTGAGGCTGGCCTCCAACTTGTGGTCCTCCTGCCTCAGCCTCCTGAGCTGCTGCGATTTCAGGCACGCGCCACCACGCTCAGCCAGCTTCGTCAGTTTCTTGCTAGAGCAACATGAAGTTCACACTTCTCAGGAGAAGAAATCCATCCTCTTAACGAGGTGGCTTTCCTGTTCCCACGTGATTTGTCCGAAGAAGCAAAATTCTGTTCAGCCACCATCCTGCCTTCAAATGTAACCCCGTAATTGCCAAGAAGACCTAGCGCCAGCCTTTTCCCATCCGTTAAAGCCTAGCGGGAGAGGGTACACCCTGAGAGCCAGGGTTTCTACTTAATTAAAAGAGAGGCAGCAAGGATTTCTGCTTCCGCGAAAGGGTTGGTGAGCTGAGGGTGCAAGGCAGAGGGTTTGCTGTGCCATCTTCCAGCGGCAGAGAACAGCTCCCCACTCTGACCCCGTGGCTTGCCTACGTGACATTGCTCTGTGCCGTGGCTTATCTAAGGACCTTTTAGTGACCGACACACAGGCATGTTTGGAAAAATCCAATACGGGGTCTCCACACAAGCAGATCCTAGTAAGACGTGGAAGGCAAAATTTTTTGTGTGTGCAAAAAAAAGAAAAAAAAATACAGTATAAGATCTCAATGTCTCAATTCGTGAAGATGGAATATTTTTTCTGTGGATTTCATCATTGCAAACCGACAGACGATGCTGGGCCTGTCCATTCCTCGCAGGGGTATTAACGAGGGGCAAGAAATCTCACTTGGTGAAGCTTTGGGAAAACATCTCAATTCTCTTCTGTGGGGAGGAAAGCAAATATTCTCAAAAATGCTGATATTCTCAAAAAAAAAAATCACATTTTAGAGGTGGAATACTCGCATCTCCTATTCCACAATTTTAATTTTTTTAGGGCAGGAAAATAAATGCATACTATCGTGGTCGATGTGGGTGCTAATAAAGACAGGGAAGGTGATTTTTATTCTCTCCCTGTGACTGGGGAGGATTTAAATTGAAGTGAGGCCGTTAGGTCTTGTGAGACGTGCCACAGACAGACACGGAGGCAGCTCTGGGTCCTGGACAGACGTCCAAGTCTCCTCTGAAGAATAAAGAAGGACCTTCTCCCCACCCCAACCTCAGTGGTTAAGTTTCTGAGGCTGGCCTCCAACTTGTGATCCTCCTGCCTCAGCCTCCTGAGCCGCTGGGATTTCAGGCACGCGCCACCGGATTTCAGGAACCCCACAAGTGGCTTAAAACAATCCCAAGTGTTTTGATAGCGTAGACGCCGCTTAAAAGTTTAGCTCCATGGGGTCACTTTTGATTTTTCATAGCAGGAATGAGCTTCCGTGTGACAGGCCGTATTTCTGCGGCACCGTTAAACGGCAGCTTTTCGGAGTGGAGTGATTTATAGCCTGCTTCTAGGAAGGAGCGTGTTAGGTGTCGGAGAGATCATTATTATTTTTTTTTTTAAGAGCCTATCTGTGCATAGGAAGGAGGAAAAGCTTACGGCATAGACTGCGTTCCCCTCCTTCACTTAAACTGAAATATTTTGCTTTTTAAGTTAAGAAGAAAACTCTTTAAGACGTGGAGCCTACGATTTTTCATGCAATCCCATTTATTGTTAGTAGTATGATAACGATTATTTCAGTTACAAATGCCGATCTCATAAAAGCACTTCCCTCTCCCCAAATCTTAAATCTCATGAAGAGTTTCGTTGGCATATAGGGGTTCGAAAAAGAAAAATAACAGATTCAAGAAGTTAAGGTTGAGCCGGGCGTGGCGGTGTCCGCCTGTCGTCCCAGTGGCTCCGGAGGCTGAGGCAGGAGGATCGCGAGTTCCAAGCCAGCCTCCGCCAAAGGGAGGCCCTAAGCAGCTCAGGGAGACCCTGTCTCTCAATAAAATGCAAAATAGGGCTGGGGACGGGGCTCAGGGGTCAAGTGCCCCTGGGTTCAATCCCCGGTACCAAAAAAAAAAAAAAAAAAAAATAAGAGGGAGCACTAAAGAGATTTGTCCAAACGCTGGCCATTCCTCTTGCTCTGGGGAGTCAGGAGACACCTTCCCAAGAGACATGAGGCAAACCTGTCGCTTTTCTCCATGGGGGGGACTCCCCGTGGGCCATGCTCCTCCCTGCCCACCTCCTCTCCCTTCTGTTCCTTCCCCCCAGCTCTTTGCAGGCTCAGAGTCTGGCTTGAAAGGGCTTTGCAAAGGAGGCACCCGAGGGTCCCTGCGGAAGGCTGTCATGCAGAGCCAGCCCTCGCCTCCCGCTTCTTTCTCCTCCTCGGCTGAGATTAGCGGCGAGCAGCGGCCCCGGGAAGGGAGCCCAGCCTGTCTGCGGTCCTTATTTCTAACTTATGATAATAGGGTCTTTTCAGCCCCGAGACTTGGGTGCATTAATAAGGAGGGGAGGCTGGAGGCCTGCGCGCTGAGCAGCGCACGCGGCTGTCATCGCATTCTGGGTTCCGAATAGCACCGAAATAAACCTCAGAAAATACCCCCAGGGGACCAGAGGACCCTTCAGTGCCTCCTGAGAAGACAGGGCAGGGTCGCAGCGTCTTCTTCAGACCAGGGAAACTCCCCAGCTGAGCCCTGCATGCCCCTGTGCCCCGAGGGCAGCCCCGGCTGCTCTCAGGGCCTTCAAATGGGGCTGTTGACGGTCAACTCAGAAGCAAACTGAGGCTTTGGCCCTTTTATTGAAACTCGTGGCTGATGGTATGTGTGTCTTGTTTGCCATCGGGAGGGACACGGGACCACTGAGCCCGGTTTTGTATTTTATTTGGAGACAGGGCCTCACTGAGCTGCTTGGGGCCTCACTGTTGCTGAGGCTGGCTTTGAACTGCAGTCCTCCTGCCTCGGCCTCCGGAGCGTCTGGTTTGACAGACGACGTGCACCACGGGGCCGACTTGCGGTTCTTTATAGTTGATGCATAAAGCATCCCTCTTGTTGGGAGGACCATCAGGAAGGTGGGTTTAGGAGAAGCCGAAACGTCAGATGGCCTGTGTTTCACCGCCATCCTGCGTAGCAAGGCAAGAATTGCTCCAAAGTCACGGCTCGTCTCCTCGGCTCTGCACGAGAGTGACTGACTGACCGCAGCCTCATCCATGCACCGGGTGCTCTAATGCATGAGCGCTGGGCTCCCCTACAGGTGGCCCCCGCTGCGGTTGGTTGATGTCCTCGGTGCTGGTGACGGCCCCCAGACCGGCGCCTCAGCGGGGACGGACGTTCCCCCCACAAGGCTCCCAGGTGATCCACACCTGACCTCCCCAGACCTCCTTCTCCCGCAGGGTCATCGATGGCCGAGACCTGATGCCGCTGCTCCAAGGGAAGACCCGGCGCTCGGAGCACGAGTTCCTCTTCCATTACTGCAACGCCTACCTGAACGCCGTGCGGTGGCACCCGCCCAACAGTGAGTACCGGCCTCCCTGCCTCCCGGAGGCCGCCGGCCCCGGACCAGGAATGTGCTTGACTTGGGCCCCTTTTTCCTTCTTTCTTCCTGGCTCACCTGAACCTGTCTTCCCCAGCGGGGGAAGCCGCACCCCCAGCCCTACTTTGCATTATATTTAGGGACCCTGTGGCCACCTCTGGGTGGGACCCTGTGGCCACCTCTGGGTGGGACCCTGTGGCCACGTCGGCCAAGTTCAATTCCTGGGAACTCTTTCTCACTCTGTTCCACTGAAGCACTCTCTGCACGGCCAGGGCTTCACCTTTCAGATCCTTCTTTAAAAAAAAAAATGAAATTAAAATGTCGTTTTTAGTTATACATGACGGTAGAGTCTACTTTGACATAGTTACACAGACATGGAATATCTCATCCTGATTAGGGTCCCATTCTTGTGGTCGTACATGACGTGGAGTTTCTCTGGTCGTGAATTCATATATGAACGTAGGAATGTTCTGTCTGATTCATTCGACTCTCTTCCTAATGTATGTGTCTATTTTTTTTTTTTTTTTTTGGTCCCAGGGATTGCACTCGGGGTCACTCAACCCTGAGCCTCACCCCCAACCCTACTTTGCATTTTATTTAGGGACAGGGTCTCCCTGAGTTGCTGAGGGCCTCCCTTTGGCTGAGGCTGGCTTTGAACTCACGATCCTCCAGCCTCAGCCTCCCGAGCCGCTGGGATGACAGGCGTGCGCCACCGTGCCCGGCCCCTTTGCTGGATTTTGACAATTAAAGCCAAAAGATATTCTAACAAACCCTGAAGCAACAAATAGACTCAATTTGTCCCCTCGGTGTGGTTACAGAGTTTAACGTGTGTGCGTGTCTGTGTGTCCTTGAAACTTAGTATGACAACAGACTTCATGTCCCTAAGATGCCTGGGAGCGGATGGAAGGTAACACTTTATCCTATGTTCTAGAGTCAGAGGCTGAGGTCGGACTTTCCATTCCCACTGCAAAGGGGAGACCAAACGTGCCTATTTTCTGGGTGCTCTGAAGCTCATCTCGGGGGCCGGACGCTCCTGGGTAATGGGTGGCCCCAGCGGATGGCTTGTACTAAGGCTCAGGGTGCTTCCCCACTGCGGGCTCCTCCCCATCCCTCCTCATCTCCCTCCACCTGTCCTTCCTCCCTCCCTCCCTTCCTGCCTGCGGTACCGTCCTCTCGGGCTCCACTGCAAAGACTCAACCCGGAGCAGCCCCCTTCCCTGCATTTTTAAAGTGCAAAATGTCGCGCCTGCCATTTGCCGCAGAAACCACACCAAGTTGGACGCTTCTTTGAAAATCTGGATGGCTTCCTGGTGGCATGTTCTAGAAGGCAGGGATCATGGGCTCGGGATTCTGGGTCCATGGAACAATTAAATGCACGATTATGCAAACGGCAAATGAATGCAGCCAGCCAGCCCCCACGTAGAGAGACCCAGGAGGGACATATTGGATCAGGGGCTGCAGGGACGCCTTATGTGGAGGAGTAAAGAGAACCGAGGGTAGAAACAGGGATAGGTGAGAAAAGCAAGACCCAGTTTCTGGTAGGCAACTGGCCCTGGGATAAAACTGGCTCCCGAGACAGGCGCCGGTATCAACTCCTTTGAGTGCAATTTCTTAAACCCTTGGGTCTTGAGCCAGACACACAAAAACAGGAGAATTCACCGTATTGCAAGGCTGGGCTTGCTCACGTAGCAAAAAGAGATCCTTTTCCTATCCACAGTGGGTTGCACGAATCCACAGTGGATTGTGAGAAGGACTTCGGATCTGTTTTTCCCAATGAGATGCAAAACTCACGCACCACGCTTGGCCCGCCCGGGTTTTCGTGCGTGTCTTAGTGTTTACTGATTTGCTGTTCCGTGCGAGTCATCTCTGCCGCTAACAGTCACCAAGAAGCTGCTCTGTGGTGGAGTGCAGCTCCGTTGCACATCTGTCACGGAGCAAAACGGACACCGTTTTCCGTTGCAAGTGGATTCCATTCTAGAGCATTCTGGGCCGCAAACTGCACCGGTGCTTGGAATAATGGGGTGCGTCGGTTTCCTCCGTACGGAGGTTGATGGAGGACTTGTCCGGGGATTCGGCTTGGATGCTCAGACCTAGACGTGGCCAATGTCCGTCACAGTACGTGGAGTCCTCTCCAGGGGTGTAGACACAAGGCTTCGCTAGACAGAAAAGAAAGGCAGAAAGAAAGAAATTTAGGATCAAGGGTTTGGGCAGTGGTATGCATGACGGATTCCCCGTTAGTCAGGGGTCTCGGCAGCTGGTTATTAGACCTCTTTGGTTTGCACTTGGCCCAAGTGGGGACTGTTGACACCCCATTCATTGGCAAACTCAGCCAACCCAGGTCTGTTTCTCCTTCCAAGAGCTACGTTACCAGTCGCCTGTTAACACCCGTCAACCACAGCTGTCTCCCAATGTGAAGACCACTTACAGTCGGCCCTGTTAGGTGGACGCCTAAACGTCACCTCTTCACACTGGATAAATACTATTCCCAAGCCACTGAGAGCTAGGATTGTATCCCCAACCTTTTATTTTTATTTACGTATTTATTTACTTGTTGGGTGACTGTACCGCTGAGAGCTATATACCCAGCCTTTTTATTTATTTATTTATTTTTTTAATTTTGAGACAGGGTCTCATTACATCGCCCAGGCTGACCTCAAGTTTGCAATCCCCCTGCCTTGGTCCACAGAGCACCTGGGATTGCATGTTCTAGCACGTTCAACCCGATTAAAACATGAACCCCTTTTACTTCTTATGTACACCACCTTCTCTATTGAGTCTCTCACCCGGTTGAGTGACGTGAGTGAATTACAAGCCAGTGTCATTACTCCCGACGTATTTTATTTACTTATTTATTTCAGTACCCGAGATCCAACTCAGGGACGCTAAACCACTGAACCACAACCCCAGATCTTTTTTTTTTTTTTTTTTTTTCTTTTGAGACAGAGTCTCGCTGAATTGCTTAGGGCCTCGCTAGGTTGCTGAGGCCGGCTTTGAACTCACGATCCTCCTGCCTCAGCCTCCCAAGCCGCTGGGATTACAGGTGTGCGCCTTCGGAACACCTGGCTCCCACTATGTTTTTAAAAACCCGTGAAACCATTATTATAACATGGATATATTTTCATGCGGTAAAATGAAGATTTTTGAGTCAAGCATTTATTGTCTGATGCATATTAAAAATGGTCACTGTGAATTCTGGCATCTGAATCAATACAGCTAATGATTGTAGTCGGTGAAAATAAGTGCTTCTATTTAAGTAGGCGTCCAGAATTAGGTGGACACATTGCAATTCATACTGCAGTTCATGGGACGGCTGTAGGCATATTCTGGATACAGTGCATTATAATATATAATTAATACAGCCACGTGCCGTATACTGACTGTTTTTTGGAGGGAGGGTATTGGGGATTGAACTCAGGAGTACCAAACCCCAGCACTTTTTTGTATTTTATTTTGAGACAGAGTCTCACTGAGTTGCTTAGGGCCTCACTAAGTTGCTGAGGCTGGCCTTGAACTCACGATCCTCCTGCCTCAGCCTCCTGAGCCTCTGGGATCACGGGTGCCCAGCCATACACGGACATTTTTATCAGTGACGGATTCCATGGCTTGACATGGCACACAGTGATAATGTGATCTTTCTTGATGTAAGTCAACGCTAAGATGGTCGCGCACAGCCGTGAGATCACGTAAGGATCGGAGAACCGGTTTTCAGAACAGGGGCCGGTGGTTACGTGACCCGTGGCTCTTGGGTAAAGCATCTTCTGCAAACATGTAAGGTATCTCGATATTGTCTATAAATTATCTGTCGTATTATTTATTTGAAATCCCATGCTTTCGTGAGGAAGTGGGCGACAAACATTAGTTCAAGCCAAGTGCTGTGGGGCACGCCTGTAATCCCAGAGGCTGAGGAGGCTGAGGCAGGAGGATTGCCAGTTCAAAGCCAGCCTCAGCCACTTTAGTGAGGCCCTACGCAACTTAGTGAGGCCCTCTCTCAAAAAAGTAAGAAAGGCTAGGAAAATGTAAAAAAAAGAAAAAAAATAGGTGCGGGATATGGCTCAAGGTTAAGTGGCCCTGGGTTCAACCCCCAGCACTAACACCTCCTTTGGGATAAAGGGTTCGCAACACCTCCTTCCCCTTGGAGAAGGTGAGGATCCTTCTCATACTGACCGAGCATTCCTTGGGTCATAAAAAAGGGATCCATTTTTTTTTTTTACATCCAGTTTTTGTTATTTTCTTCCTGTGATTAAGGGGGAAGAAAAAAAAAATAAGCTTCCTTTGAAACGATTAGAACAAAAAAGCAAAAAGCAATCAGATGATAGAATCCGTTCGAAAGGCATGTGTTCGTGTTTCTAAAAGGCCCCTCTTTGTCCAAACTCGGAGACGAGTCGCGGTTTTAACATCAAAACAGCTTTCCCGTGGCAAGGGAATCCAAATAGACCGCGGAAGCCCCCGTGGGTGATGCTGACCCCACCCTCTGACCGCACCTGACCTTGATTTCAGTCGGCGCCCGGTCCTGCCCATCGGCTGATTTCCCCCTGTGTCTTGGGCATCTCTTTTCTCCGACTTCACCCGTCCTATGTCCGCCCTTCAGATCTGACCTTGGCCTCCCTGACCCGAATTTGCTCTCATGGGCTGCCTGACCCGGTGTTTTCTACAGGATTCTAGCCGGAGCCTGTGAGGTCTACTGATCCTTCATCTCTTTTTCTGTTGGCACCCACGACACCAAGATGCTTCCCGGGTAGCCACGGACCTCTACCTGGATGGCTCTCTCATTCCGCCTCCATGTCACATAGAATCCTTCCAGGTCACCTGCGGGGTGACGCGTCTTCCTGGGGTCTGGTCCACCTGACAGCACCATCGTGGTTGGCTCCCAGGCAACGAGGTTTGGGTTCAGGGTCTGCCCGTGCGTTGGCGGGTCTTCAGCCGGGACCGTGATGCTCTTCTGTGGACATCGAGAAGATGACCCGTCCACCTGGTCGCCTCTCTGTGTGCCCCTGGGGCTCATCCGTGTCCTCTTGGCTCCTGTGTGTGGTCTCCCAGGAGGTCATCGGCCCTGGTCTTTCTTCCGTGGGCTCCATCCCCGACTGTTACGGTTTGGATGTGACCCTGACCCCGCCGTCTTTTCCATTCGATACCCAACACGTTTTTATCGATCCTCTATTATACGCGAGGTAGTGTGCATCTGAGAGACATGGGAGACAGCAATGGTTGCGCTCAGAGAGGGAGCCGTTGAGCCGGCAATAAGGAGACTGCAGGCAGCCGGAGACCTCGAGGGCCAGATGAGCGGTCAGAACCGGTCATTTCCGAGCTGGGCATCCGGGACAGGCTCATGGAGGGCCCGGAGAGATGGGTGGGGGGTTAATACCCAGCGGCGGCGAGGCAGGGAGAACTGTGATGTGTCTGGTGTCCGTCATGCACCGGGTTTGCACCCTGGGTTTGTAGAGCACCGTCTTGGATTGCTCTTGCAGCCCGAGAGGACTTGAATCCCATGCTCTTAGCCCCAGCCCTGAGCCGTGTCCTCTTCCTGGACAGTTTTGCACGGAGAGTTCTCCCGCAGCCAGCCCCAGGAAGCGGGAGGAGGTGGACCACGAGCTACTCTCCGTGCAGAGTAGATAAAGGTGTGGGCTGTCGCGGGCAGACGGACAGGAGTGACCCTCGGGGCTAACGCTGCCAGCACCGCACACCCCAGGTATCCGAGCAGGGCCTCTGAGATCTGAGCACGGGGCCCTCCCTGCTTCTCGAGACGGCTGCCAAGGCACCCCAGCACCGCTCCTCGGGGTGCTCTGAACCTGGGCCGTGCGTGCAGAGCCAGCGCCCTTCTCGGAGCCAAGGGACCGCGGCTGTGGGGCGATGCCTGTCACCCGACCTTATCTGCAGAAGGCAGAAGGGCCAGGCGCCTCTAAGTGACTCAGAAGCAGGCGTCTCATCAGGAGCCCGGATGGACTGAGGCCGGGCAGCTCACCCCGCCGGCCCTGACGTCTTCCCAAAATAAAAATAAAACCACCAGAGTCTCAGATTTCCCCAGTATGCACCCGCGTGGGAGGTCAGGGCTGCTCGGGGGCAGTGCAGACGCCCGTGTCCAGTGCTTCAGGTAGATTCTGCTCCTTTATGTCGGGTTCTGATCCGCTGATCACGAAACCTGCGGTTGCCAAGCGGGGCCCGTGGCATTATGAATGCACATCACCCTGGCAGCCTAAATAGGTCCTGGGTGGGTGTGGGAGGGGGATTCCCCTTAGAAAGGTGATGAGCGGTCAGAACCGGTTTCCTATTTAAGGCCTCGGGAAGGTGATCCATGATCTCAGCAGCTCTGGAGGCTGAGGCAGGAGGATCGTGAGTTCAAAGCCAGCCTCCGCCAAAGGGAGGCCGTAAGCAACTCAGGGAGACCCTGTCTCTAAATCAAATGCAAAATAGGGCTGGGGACGGGGCTCAGGGGCCAAGGGCCCCTGAATTTGATTGCCAGTATCCCCCCAACCAAAAAAAAGAAGAGAGATTAATTGTTACTCATCTCAAATTCTCGGGATCAGAAGAATTTCAGGGTTTTTTTGGAATATTGTATTTGCATCTCTTTGAGCTCCCGGGGGGTGGGGGTGGGCGAGAAGTACAAGGTTCCACCCGAGACCGAGGGACACGTCCTGACCTTCTCAAAGCCCCTGCAGCGAGGCTCTGCCTTTGTGCCCAGTCGCGGGTGGCTCTCCGCCGTCCTGACCCTGTGTCCTCTCCCCCCCGCAGGCTCCTCCGTCTGGAAGGCCTTCTACTTCACGCCCAAGTTCAACCCCAAGGGCGCCAACGGCTGCTTCAGCACCCACGTGTGCCTCTGCCTGGACGGTCACGTCACCCACCACCAGCCACCCCTGCTCTTCGACCTCTCCACGGACCCCGGCGAGAAGAGCCCCCTCACTCCGGAGACGGAGCCCCGCTTCCAGGACATCCTGAGGGTCATGCAGGAGGCCGCGGACCGCCACACCCAGACCCTGTCGGCGGACGTCCCCAACCAGCTGTCCCCGGGGAACACCCTGTGGAAACCCTGGCTGCAGGTGTGCTGTGCCTCCTCCTCGGGTCTGTCCTGCCAGTGTGACCAGCAGAGGCAGGAGCAGGGGACGAGAAACTAGCCGCTGGCCACAGAGAGGCCCGGGGCCACGCTGTCACCGTCCGCAGCAGCTAGGGGCTTGCAGGGCCTGCGGACGTCCGTCCTCGTGGGCCCTCCGTGACCCAAGTCGGAGACGACCATCAAGTGTAGCAAGAGCTGCTCAGACCTCAGCACGGGCCGCCTTGGGAGGGACGGCGCTTATAAGGAGGACCATCATCGCCAGCAGACGGTGGCGACGTCCAGTCCGGGGTAACGGGAAGGCAAATGAGTACCGATCACCCCGAATACGTGCAACACAGGATCGACACCACTCACCATGTACATCCAGATAGAGAGACGGACAGAGAGACCCAGGTGTACCTATATATTTATGTGCATAGATACATCCCCCACGGATTCCTCCCCTCAGGAGGGTTGACATGTCAATGGCCTGCCCCCCCCCACTATTTAAATAAAAATCAATAAAAGCTAACAGGTGTCCTCAGTGAATGCGGGGTCAAATCCTTCAATGACATCAGTCTCCCTGAACCCGATTTCCATTCCGTCAGTGATGGTACTGCATTCACGTTCCAGGGCTCCTTTGCTCAGTGGACCTTGGGGTCCCCGGGGCACTAAGGGAGATACTGCAGTTGAGGGGATCCCTTCCAACAGCATTCAGAAGGACCAGGCGTGGAAAGTCTGTGTTGTTTTGCATTTGATTGAGAGACAGGGTCTCCCTGAGTTGCTCAGGGCCTCGCTTTGGCGGAGGCTGGCTCGGAACTCGCGATCCTCCTGCCTCAGCCTCCTGAGCCGCTGGGATGACAGGTGTGCACCACGGCCCCCAGCCCTTGGTGACTTGTTGATGTGTCCACACAAGGGGCGTTATCTTCAGTTGTGGGTGTGAGCTACAGAGGAGAAAGCCCAGCCCGTGTGAACACCTTGGTGTGGTTTTATCCCGTGGCGGAGACACCCATCTCCGAGCCACCCCCAGATGCACGGTGAACGGTGTTTAGTCAAGACCTTGGGTGCAGGTGGGCGTCCAGGAAGCCCCTGGTGATGGGGCAATATCTGTCGGGGGATTACGTCACTTGGCCAGCTTTTGGAGACTCCTCGGGCGCCCGATGGGTGTGGGATTAGTCATTTAATCTGCAAACAGCGCATCAAGCACCAAGCAGCCCTCTCCCTGCACCCGGGTTGAATTTAAAAGTGCCTCCCAATACCGAGATTGCCTTTAGAGCCCAGGGCGATTCGAAATCCTCTTTATTTGCAATAACCATATTGATCGTGCATTGCAACCCATTCGCCATCGGAAGGCTTTGCTTGGAACGTGGAACAGGAAATAAGATTTTTCATTTTAATCTCCAGGAGAGCCCTGACCAAACTTGTCGATGGCATCGTTGCTTTTTTTGTTTTTCCTGATGTGTTATCTGTCTTTTTTCAGAGCTGCGAGGCACGACGACGACTTACTTCCAAAGAATCTTGTTGATATTACTTGTGGAGTGGCGGGTGCACAAGATTGCTTAGAACTTGCGCACGCAAAAGCTAAAATCAACCACCCCCCGGCAATTCCGAAGGGGCTACCCTAATCAAGAAAAATGAGATGATGGCGTTTGCAGGGTCCATGGGGGGAGTTGGAGAATGTCAGCTGCTGGGGGAACCCACGGGAGCGACCTGTGGGGTGTCTGCTGGGTTTGATTAAAAGCATGAGGTTAAGTCATGTTTAGCAGCTAGACAGCAAGACCTTTCCGAGCACCAGAGATGCCACCGAGAAGAGGCAGAAATAAGACAGTCCCTGGTCTCAACGATCAGAGGGTGCAGCAAGGTCCCAATACAGCCTTTAGAAGGGCTCCCCACAGACTTTATTATTTTAAAATCTGAATTTGTTTTAATTAATTGTACATGATGTGTTCATGCTCTGTGATGGATCCTACGTGAACGGGGTCTAATGTCTCCTATTCCTTTCATTCTTCTTTATGGCTGAGTAATATTCCATTGTGTAGATATACCACAGTTTCTTTATCCATTCATCTACTGAAGGGCACCTAGGTTGATTCCACGGTTTAGCCGTTGTGAACTGTGCCACTATAAACACTGATGTGGCTGTGTCCCTGTAGTATGTGCTGATTTTAAGTCCTTTGGGTATAGACTGAGGAGTGGGATGGCTGGGCCACATGGTGGTTCCATTATAAAGACTGAGGGTCAGGGGTGTGGCTGTGTGGTACAGGTGCGGCTGCCCGTGTATGAGGTGCTGGGTTCAATCCCCAGCACAGCATCCATCTGCATCCGTCAATCAATCAATCAAATGCAAGAAAGGAATGTGAACCCTGAGGGTTGATGGTGTTTGGTCCAACGCAGTCACAAAAGCAATTTTTGCCGGGATCTGCGCCTCGTGTTGTTGTGCCGTGTGTGTCCACACTGAAACGTCGTGTGTTTTGCAAAAGGCCCCGAGACGGGTAGTGATCTTACCCTGGAGACCAGTTCCCTTTGCTTTACTATTCAGAGTAGAAATCTGACAGGAAAATCTCCCTCACACACACCTTGATTCTTTAGGAAAAGCAAAGACAGGGCAAATCCAAATCCGCTCTCGTCGCTTCAACACAGCCTGCACCCAGGGAGCATAAAGAGGAAGCAGGAAGTAGCCTGGGACACACTGTGTTGGTGGGGTAGAGGTCTCTAGTATCCAAGTGCCAAAAAGCTGAGTCTTTACTACTACCTTCTTTTTAATCCCCAAAGACTAAAAAATGTGAATATGAAATAAAAAAACAGCATTCATGTATTGGAAATGACCTGCACCTCTTAAGTCATAGCTGGAATCCAATGTCTGTGCCTCTCACATGCACCCTGGGCACTGACCGGTTCTCTGCTTGGCCAAACTGGACTCAGGCTCCACAACCCAGGTGTGCTCGTCCTTAAAGAATCCAATCTTACGGTGGCACAGTGGCACACTGGCGCACGCCTGTAATTCGAGAGGCTCGGGAGGCTGAGGCAGGAGGATCGTGAGTTCAAAGCCAGCCTCCGCCAAAGGGAGGCCCTCAGCAACTCAGGGAGACCCTGTCTCTCAATAAAATGCAAAATAGGGCTGGGGACTGGGCTCAGGGGTCGAGTGTCCCTGAGGTCAATCCCTGGTACCTAGAAAGAAAGCAAGAATCCAGGGTTAGCAAGAACCCTGTGAAGTCACCTTAGCAAGGACCCACTAACCCCCATATCTCACACCCTGCACTGTCCCTGGGTGACATCTGATCAGTGTGGCCTGTCATCAGCTGGAATGACTTAGGTCAGTTCAGCTGGAATCCCCTGCTGAGGGGTCCGCCTACGTCACCCTGCACCGCGGGCTAAATCCCCCACTTTGGGGGCTGTGTTCCGAGTCGAGCCCACCTCTCTCCCCCACTGTACCCGTGGCCCTGAAGACAGTCTTCCTTACGCACCTTTAACTAGTGTCATTGGAAGATGATTTTCTTTACCGTCCCCCACCGCAATGCAAAATCTGCCCCGGGTCCGGGCCTGGTGGCACACTCCTGTAATCCCAGCAGCTTGGGAGGCTGGGGCAGGAGGATCACAAGTTGGAGGCCAGCCTCAAAAACTCAGTGAGACCCAGCCTCAAAATGAAATGTAAAAAGGACTGAGATGTGGCTCAGTGGTCAAGTACCCCTGGGTTCAATCCCTGCTAGAGAGAGAGAGAGAGAGAGAGAGAGAGAGAGAGAGAGACCCTCAAACTTGATGCATTTCTTTGGTTCTATTCAATAAGTTGAAGTCCTCTGAGTGATTTTCCTCTTTTCCTTTTTGGTACTGAGGATTGAAGCCAGGGAGCTTTACCACTCAGCCATACTCCAGCCCTTATCATCTTTTATGTTGAGACTCCGTCTTGCTAAGTTGCTGAGGCTGGCTCCAACTTGCGATCCTCCTTCCTCAGCCTCCCCCCGAACCCCTGGGATTATACGCACGCACCACGGTGCCCTCATTTAAAGAAAAAAATGAATGGGTAGATTCATGACCTTCAAAAAGGACCGTGCATGCTTCCTGCCGCACAACTCTGGGGGCAGCCTTAACTGAGACTGCGGTGAGAAGACTGCTTTCTCGTTTATGCAGTGCACAGCCTAGATCACTGTGCATAGCAGTATTAGTTGGGGAGTGATGTTGCCTCAACAGGTGCAAGCAGAGTCTTCTCCAGGCAGCTCTGGTTCCCTGGGACACCCCAGGGATATCCTAGGATTCCATCAGACTTGGAAAGATAATTCAGAGAGCTGGAGGGGAGGAAAATGAGGACAGCTTTGGATCAGGGCACAGCAAAGTCAAACCTACGTTCATGTTGTACACTGCTTCAGAAATGCCCAGGTCCCCTAGCCCCCAGTGAGGACGCCCCAGGAAAGCAGATGTCCGTTCCCTGCATGGCGTCTATGCCACCTGGAAGCCAAGCAACCGCTGTGTGAGTTTCAATCCCTTTGCTTTCAAAAACAACAACGAACTCCACATTTGTGTGTGTATTTTCTTTTCTTTTCTTTTTGGTACCAGGGATTGAGCCCAGGGCTACTAAACCACCGAGCCACATCCCCAGCCCTTTTTATGTTTTATTTCAAGACAGGCTCTCGCTAATTCGCTCAGGGTCTTGCTAAGTTGCTGAGTTTAGTTTTGAACTTGTAATCCTCCTGCCTCAGCCTCCCAAACTGCTGGGGTTACAGGTGTGCACCACCGAGCCTATTTATTTGTTAATTATTTTGGTACCGGGGATTGAACTCAGGGGCACTCAACCACTGAGCCCCGTCCCCAGCCCCTGTTTTGTATTATTTAGAGGCAGGGTCTCACTGAGTTGCTTAGGGCCTCGAATTTGCCGGCTTTGAACTCACAATCCTCCTGCCTCAGCCTCGCAAGTTGCTGGGATTATAATCATGTGCCATCACACCTGGCAAAATAGACATATATTTAAAGCCCTGCATTTTAATGGCATTTTAAAGTGTTTACAATGTTGAATTCTGTTTAATTATATGTTAAAAATGTTGAGGATTCTTTCAAAGTAAAAAAAAAAAAAAGATATAGCAAAATCAATAATGTATATTTATATTCTGCTTATTAACATTTTGCTGGGATTGATATAGGGTTGTTTAACCACTGAGCCCCATCCCCAGCCCTTTTTATATTTCATTTAGAGACAGGGTCTTGCTAAGTCGCTTAGGGCCTCACTAAGTGGCTGAGGCTGGCCTCCAACTTGCAATCCTCCCACCTCAGCCTCCGAGTTGCTGCAAATATCAGCGTGTGCCTCCACAGCAGGTGGCTATAGGCACTTTGAATGCAAACGAACCATCTTCTGACCTTTTATCATCTGAATTAGTCTTTCTTTTTCTTTTAACTCCTGTCACAGTTCGTGAATTCTGATGTCTAAAGAGAAAATAAAAAATAAAAAACAATGGTGTAGTGTCTTATTTTCCATGACAAGGCTTCAAAGGGCAACTTTAAAAACACGGTGTAGATTCCACCAGGCATGGAATGTTTCCCCGAGGG